AGTTAGTAGTTTTTAAGTTTAACATTGACTGTGATACGATTTAGATAGTGAATTTTGTAAGTGTTGCAAAGAGTTAAGTTGTTTGAGTTAATAATTGAAGTTGAAGTATAGTTTGGCAAGTGGTAACTTGTTAGAGACGAAAGGGGGAAGAAAAGTGGGGCGTAACCTAAGAATATTCACTGACACCTCAACTGACACCGCCTCATGATAACCATGTCTTTGGGTTCAGTGGCACCGAAAACACCAAGGAAATAAACCAAAAAATTATCAGGAAAAAAATTCTTCAGTTTCACGAATAACCACGCCACTGGTGCTGTCGTTCAGGCTCTAACCAATAGAATCATCCCTGCGTTTTTATTCTCATCAAATTTTACCGATCCACCGATGAGAATAAAAACGCACGTCATGTCTCTGAATAATCACGCCTCTCCGCTTCATTCATTTCGTAATGTTGCCGGATTTTTTCCTATTTCAAAATACTACACGGCCCATGTTGCAAAAAAAATATGTCACCAACTTGTTTATTATTGTTTCTGTCAAGTTTGGCATAGCAGCAAATTCTTTTTGAGTTCACCGTTTGGCTAGCCAGACTATAATTAGTGTCAGAGTGTGTAGTAACATGGAATAAATAATTTTTGTGTTAATTGGACTTTGATTTTGGAATAAACGGACCCAAGTTCATCGTCACGCACACCAGAGCCGTGACATTGATGTCGCAAGTGAGATATAATTCAAGGACTGCAAAGTGAAATCTCATTGCAGAATAGTGCGGACTACTGCGGACACTAGTGTATGGACACTAAGTGAACACTGGGACAGTGAGTCGCTGTAACCAGTGACAATCACCAAAAGAGACTTAACCGATCGTATAAATTACCCCGGAAGTGACTGTATACCCAATTTTGACTGTGATAGTGAATTTTCAAGTAAGTTCTAGAAAAATTCTATTTGTGAACCAAAGGAGATATTGAATTTGTGACTTCACCCGCGTGTTTGCTATATCAATCGACATTCAGAAAAGACATTTCAAGAAAATTCTAGAACATTCTATTTGAAAATAAAGCAAGTTATCCAATTTGTGACTTCACCGGCGTGTTCGGAACTTCAAGCAAAGACCAGGAAATATATTTGAAGAAAGTTTGAGGGAAATTCTAGAACATTCTGTATGTTCCTATTACGAGACAACAAGCAAAAATGGAAGAACAAAAAGTTGAAGAACTTTTACGCAAAATGTTGGAACTTCAGGAGACCAAACGACAACAAGAAAAACAAGACGAAAAGGCTAGGCGACAAAAAGATAGACTTGAAGAAGCCACAGATTTCATCTTGAAAGAAGCAGACGTATTTCTGATGGATAATCAAACCGGACAGACCAGCTTAATTCAACACAAAATTGATACTGGATTGACAACAGAAAGTGGAGAATCAAATTAATAAAATTCTTCAAGAGGGAATTATTGAAAAGTCAAATAGTCCATGGTCTGCGCCAGTAGTATTGGTTACAAAGAAAGATGGAAGTCTTAGATTTTGTGTAGACTACCGTAAGCTTAATGACGTCACCAAGAAGGACAGCTCCCCTCTTCCGAGGATAGACGATACATTAACAACACTGTCGAGCTCCAAATGGTTTTCCACCTTGGATCTTGAGAGTGGCAATACAAAAAGATGACAAAGAGAAAACTGCCTTTAGTACTGAAAGCGGGTTATACCAGTTTAATGTAACGCCTTTCGGATTGTGTAATGCTCCCGCTACGTTTGAGCGACTGATGCATCTAGTTTTGCGAGGTCTCACATGGAGAACTTGCCTGGTACATTTAGATGATGTCATGATCATGGGAAATTCGTTCCAAGAACATCTCAATAACCTGAAAGAAGTTTTTGACCGCTTCTGGAATACCAACTTAAAACTCAATCCAAATAAGTGTTTTCTATTTCAAAAGAAAGTGGAATTCTTAGGTCACGTGGTATCTGAAGATGGCATACAAGTTATGGAATGAAAGATAGATGCTGTCAGGGATTGGCCAAAACCACGCGACAAACATGAACTGAGGAGTTTTCTAGGATTATGTTCTTATCATCGAAGATTTGTAGAAGGATTCGCTAATATAGCTGCTGCGCTTCATCGATTAACGGAAGAAAAATCAACATTCAATTGGACCCAAGAATGCGATTCCCCATTTAGAAAATTAAAAGGAGCATTATGTGCAGGCCCAGTGTTGTCCTATGCAAATGCAAGCAACACAAGTATTAGAGCTGTCCTTTCACAAATCCAAAATTCACAAGAGCATGTCGTAAAGTAGGTACTACAGCAGAACCTTATCAAAGCTGGAATGAAATTATTGTGTCACCAGAAGAGAGTTGCTTGCCATAGTAAAAGCAGTCGACCATTTCCATTAGTATCTCTACGGACGTTAAGTTTCTAATTCGAACAGATCACGCGGCTCTAAAATGGCTTTTAGAAATGAAAACTCCCGAAGAACAGCTTACTGGATGGATTGAGAAATTGCAGCAATACGATTTCCAAATTAAACATTGTTCTGGAAACCTGCATAAAAATGCTGACGCTGTGTCTAGACGGCCATGCAAAGAAGACTGCAAGCATTGTCAAAGAATCGACATGAGGAAAACATTGGTCCGGCTGTGAGAAGAACGGGTCTGATCGGTGATGATAAATGGACTACCAAACAAATGAGAGCAGATCAAGAAGCAGACTAGGACATCGGGTAATTTCTGCCTCTTAAAGAAAATGATGAATGTAGGCCAGAATGGAGTGAAGTGTCGAACAAGAGTTTGATTTACAAGGCGTGTGAAGTCGGTTGAACTCTCCGACCGTAGAAAATAGTTCACTGAAAAGAATTTGGGAAAGTGCCGACGGAAAATCTACTAAGAACCAACTCGTTATTTCAAAAGATCAAGTAAAAGATGAAAACTGGTGCCAAAAATGCGGCATCTGTGCTACCTCTAGAAGGGGCCCATGAAACAGTACAACGTCGGTCTCCCATTTGGTAGAATAGCGATAGATGTTGCCGGACCATTCCCTGAGTCAGAGCGTGGTAACAAATACATCTTGGTTATCATGGATTACTTCAGTAAATGGCCAGAAGTTTTCGCTATTCCCAATAAAGAAGCCATCACGATTGCCCATGTGCTAGTGGACGATGTTTTCAGTCATCATGGTACGCCACTAGAGTTGCATTCAGATCAGGGACGAAACTTCGAATCTGTCATCTTTGAGAAAATTTGTGAGATTATGGGCATTCGTAAGACAAGGACAACAACTTTACATCCACAGTCTGATTGCATGGTAGAACGATTTAATAAGACCATAGAGGCACACCTGACAAAAGTGGTCGCATTAAACCCAGCGAGATTGGAATAGACCCTTGCCTATATTTTTAATGGCTTACAGAGCATCTGTTCACGAGTCAACAGGTGAATCATTTTTGGAAGGAAACTCAGGTTACCTTGCGATCTGATGTTTGCAATACCTGCAGAAGCACCAAAAAAAATTCGAGATTATGCCGACGCAGTGAAAGCACGACTTCTGGGGATACATGATTTTGCTCGGAAGCATATTCAGCTGGCCAGTGACCGAATGAAGATCAGATACGACTTGAAAGCCAATTCTGCCGGATTTCAAGAAGGTGATCTAGTGTGGCTCTATAATCCAACAAGAAAGAAAGGAGTGTCGTGGATGGATTACGGATGTATAAAGGCCGGTAGTTTTTAAGTTTAAGATTGACTGTGATATGATTTAGATAGTGAATTTTGTAAGAATTGTAAAGAGTTAAGTTGTTTGAGTTAATTAGTGAAGTAATTAGTGTCAGAGTGTGTAGTAACGTGAAAAAAATTATTGTTGTGTTAATTGGACTTTGATTCTGGAATAAACGAACCCAAGATGTCCGTCACGCACACCAGAGCCGTGACCGTGACAATACGTATAGTTAGAGAAAGGACATAGTTCGCAAGTGACCGAATGTGTTCCATTCGGCAAAGTTGTTACTTTGCAAGTTTCGGGACAGTTTGGCCTAATAAACCCCTCAAAGAAAGAATGTATTAGATCCCCGAAGATATATATTACCAGTATATGGGAAGCCCCGAATACGATTATAATAAAAGACTTTACGACGTGCATCGAATCCAAACCGACCCCAAAGTTAAGATGAAAGTGGTACATCCTTACAGGTTGAAGGCTAATAAAAATATTAAATTATCATATCGGGAGGATCTGATTTAAGGGGGAGGCAGTGCGAATTTATAACATGTGCGGAAAATCAGATACCATGCGTTTGTAGAGAATATTAAATTCTGGTGATTTCTATTTTGACTGATTTCGTACCTATATAAAACACGTAGTTTGTTAGAGTCAGTCGAAATAGGAGAATTATTGGGCATATATTAAGTAAGCTAAAAACTATAGGTGGGTAGGTTCTTAAGTGATTAGTAAATTGTGTAAAGAGAATTAATTACAATTAATTCAATAAAAATCGTTTTCGCTATTAAAGAGAGTTTTAATGAACCCGCGGAAATTCCTGATATTTGGGAAGTTTTTGGTGATCTGGAGACATCGGCACACATCCCCTTCATTCTTCTCAAATCCTACCTTTGACAAAATGCATCAGATTTAAGGTGCCTGTTCACGAGGACCATTCAAAACAAATTTTTATCATCTATTTTAGTAGAAAGTGGAAGGTGCCATTAAAATATACCATATTATCTACCGTAATATGCTAATACTAATACCTACATTTTGTGTGTGCACCACGAAAAGATAAAATGTAAATTTTTGGGTTTGCATGACCAATAGCAATTTTTATAAAAAGAATATTTAGGTGTGTTTGTGTAGCTATTTTGAGAAACAACACAAAGAAACTATTGCATGTCCACACCTATTTTTTGTTTCAATTTGATGCTCTTTTTTAAACTTATACACTCATGAGCCATGACAGCATATACAATTACCCATGGTTCTAAAAATTTTAAAAGAGAAAATTGATTATAATTATAGCCCCACTATACAGATTCTGACACAAAAATTTTGATGCCATGTTGAGAGTCTCCCGCGCTCCTCATTTTTCAAAGTTCCGTCAGAGAGCTTCACTTACCAACGGATTATCCGCATATCGTTTTGTCTATTGACCGTGAATTCGAACACAACTGACTCGGGTTTTAGTTTAGTCGTCAGTTAAGGCGCGAAAAGTTTAGTTAGTTTTCGTACTTTACAAGTAAGTTTTTTTTAGAAATAAGAATTTATTTATTTATTGAATTAACGATATGATCGGGATTTGTTTGATATTAATTTATGTACAATCCTTGAAAGATGATAATTAGATTTTTTAAGAATGAAATCATTATACCCAATGGATCAGTTTTTCAAATGCACTTTTTTAGCAATTTTCCTTAGAAAAAAAAAATATTTTTACCTTTTGATTGAGCCAGAGTTTAAGCAAAGAATGTTTAAGTGACAAAAAGCTAGGGGAGATTTTCTTTGTAAAAAATAATATGAAAAGTTCTTATGATATTTGTAATAAAGAAGCTACAGCTCTTAAAAGGCTTAAAAATAAAACCACTTTTAATTAAGAAAAACTGCAAAATTTGCTTGGCCCCAAAGATTGTTGCTATAAGAAGTACCATGCCATAAGAAAAATGTATTCCTTAAATAATATATTATCTGACAATATTATAGTATGTTTTTTACTCAATTTCTAGTTTTAATAATGTTTTTGGCATTTATGACAAAATAGTTAATGAAAATCTCTGTTTGGGTGCAGGTTCATTTTTTCTTACACCTGAAACTATTTCGGATTCGTCTCGACAAAAAAAAAATGTTTAGCTCTATGTTTTCTTTGAAACATAGATTATTTTGGATCAGAAAATCTCACATTTGACATGCACTTTTCTTTTCTTCTTAAATTCGTTTGTGTCATCAAAATGTATGCCATTTCTTATTTCTTTCCTGAATCGTAAATTAACTTACTCCTGGATCAGTGCCAAACATTTTCTGTTGCATCGATTATTTCTTGAACTTCTTTTGATCTTGTAGCACAATTTATTCCCAGCCTCAATTTTATTTTTTTTTCAAGATGCATAATCCACGTTTTTGTATTATCTCCATACAAACATTTTCGATTGCAGCCCCATTTTCATTTGGATCCCAGATTACTGGTCTTTTTGAAGCGCTAATTCTTTCTTTTCTGGACATTGAAATTAATTCCATTTAGTCTTTTAACGATTTTTAAAGGTTTATTGGGGTTATTCGTTATTATTACTCCCGAAGAAAAAATCGATGTCAGTACTATTTTTAAATACATAAAGTCAAGTTGCTATATTTCAAAATAGTTATATTTTGGTCTTCGTTATATATTTCCGTCAACAATATTGTTTGTGATATGTTACCAACCCGGCCTATTATTTATTGTTCCCGGCACATTTAAATGTCTTTCTTGTCCCACAAAGAATTACGTAATTCCTTAGATATCAATCTTGTCTTTGTAATATGATAGCAACTTTATTTTTAGATGATTGTCAGTTTTCATCATTGACAATAAACTTGATATTTTTTAATAGAAAAAAATTAGAGGTAATTTTATACACCTACAAACAAAATGCATTTTAATTTGTTACGGACACGCTTTAATGTGGTAAAAAAAAAGTAATGACGACGGTGGAAGTGTGTTTTCACTTCAACTTCCTGCTGGTAATAAAAGATAAATTAAAAACTTCACGCTCTGTATATTTTTTCTAAATTCTATGTAGTGACATTACCGTTTTATTGTTCAACTTTGCAGATAGAGATCGCATTTTTAGAGGGCTTTACAACTGCAATTCTTATACATATGCGTGAAAGTATAAACCGTGATGTTATTCCAACAAACAAATATTGCAATATTTTTTTTTACTTTAAAGTAAATTAAGGTTACCTTATGTCGTTTGCCCTACTTCGTGCTAATAACATCAAAATGTCTGATAAGGTAAATCGTAAACGAAGTTGTACAATTAACATTGTTTCAGATAGTTTTTTATTATTGTTTTATTCAGTTTCTATTTGGTATTAAATACAAAATAAATTATTCATGACAAACTTTGATTTTATTTTCAATTTTCATACTCACCTTCATGATATAGGTAGGTACCTATGCTTTTCCCATAAAGTAGGTAAGTTGGTGTAGGTATTATAGGTTATCTATGCTTTTCCCATAAAGTAGGTAAATAGGTGTAGGTACCTATTAAAAAAAAAAATTAATTTTGATTTGTTCTTCTTATGCATAAATGAGTGTGAATTGAAATTAATTTTGGAAATTGAATCATTCCTGCAAAATTAACTGACAGTCATCATCAGATTAATTAAACCTAATACCTTGAAACCTTCATCTTGATGATTGAATGCGTTTTAATTTTTGCCACCTTCATTCAAGTAAATTCATTATCCGTAAAATGGCATTTAATTATAGACGCCGTAATAAACTGTATTGCCTAATTATTATTTTCTACTTAAAAGAAAAACGTCAAAAGCGATAGGTAGTTTCTAACAATTTATTAAAAGGTAACTTTTTCACTTGCAACTAATTCACTGAAACAAATTAAGCCATAGTTAGGTAGGTGCACGGTACAGAATCAAAGTTGCATTTTAATGCTTTGGCCATATACACTTGGCTAAATACGCGGAATATAATAATTATAGGTACTATTATTTTCCGAAATAATTATTGCTACCAATGACCAATCTTTTTAAGCGGTATTGTTGCAGGACAAGGAAATTGTTTACTTTTAATTACTTCAATATAAAAAAATGTTTGTCATGTGAAAATAATGTCTGCATTTTTGGTTCATTATTCATCCAACAATATTCAATCGTTTGGTGATCTAACCATAAAATTATAAGCTGCAAACCAATGATTTTTATAAACCAAAAACCTGACATTTGTTTGATTTACGATTAGCTCCAGTAACGTCTTCTTATTAGCACTTGCAGGTGCTAATTTGAGTCTAATTATTAGGTATAATGGCATTCTACATTCACGGTTTTTGTTTCAGGAATATTATTTGCACTTCTCATTAGCACCTTGATATTTTATTTAATTGAAATTATAGCATGGTACCTACTTATTTGGATCATAATAATTATTTAGATAGGTAATTTATGTTAAAGCAAGGATTTCTATTTTTCTTCACAAGAAATTAGTTTAAGGTTGATATTATTTACTTTGCTTATTTAAATAAATCCTATCTACCTTGATGAAATCACTTTAATTGGCTTTAATTAGGTTTTCACAATATTTATATAGGTATGCATGTTCTGTTGAGAGCAATCTTCTTTGGCCTAAAATGCCGTGCAGAATCCTTCATAGGGGTTCTCGTTTTCTCATCGAAAGATCATGTGATCTTATTCATTGCAACCTACTGGAGTGGGTGATCATGGATTCTAGTCCACTGACGGATATTACAAATGTATAGTTTCATTGATTGTTCATTGCTTTGAAGTTCCATGCTTTCACTTAGGTTAACCGAGCAAACAAAAGACATTTTGTATCTAAGCTTGGTTGGTCAGGCCTTTTTAAACTTTGAAGTTGTTCTAGCTTGCTGTATTCTCTTTTTGAATTCGATTTCCGGGTCTCATTTTGTCAGTCACCACACAATCCAGATATTGGAACATATGGTATATTATTCATAGTAACGCTATTAGCTTTGATGTATATGGGATTCTCTGATCTTTCCTAATTTGAAATTCCTCTGTAGTTGAGTTGTGCAAGCACGAGAGTCTTTTCTCATAAGCATCCAGGTCCAAATCCTGAAGATATTATGTTAGTAGAAGGTCCCTTAGGTGCAAAGTTTGTAAAAGAAACTCCAAAAAGTAGCTCATTAGGCTTCGAAGACGATAGTCTAAATACCTTTTTTGCGATTCTTGTCTTTAGTAAGGCCATAAATCTGGAGCAAAGCCAATTTCTTGGAAAGTTTCGAAATTCGTAGATATTATCATGAATTCCGTGGGTCTACTATAACTCTCCTTGCTAACAACAACTATTATTGAACTAACTTTACTTCACAAAATTAACACATTCTTTTTGATCCTTAAACTGATAAAATACGCACTTGATATTCAAAGTCAATCAACCCCAGAAATCTCTTGATGAATTTTCGTAAGTTCTTCTTTATTTAAAGCCGACAATGAACCTCATCGTAGGAATTTGTCGACTATCGGTCGTATTCCACAGATCTTGTATCTGTATCTGTAAGTTTGGGAGAGTGGTATGCCACAGCACTTAGGCCACATAAGGCCCATTGTGCGCCTCCACAAGAGGAGAGGTCGTCCTTAGCTCGTCATCCAGCCTAGCGTTTCAACGTAGGCGATGACGTTGCCGAAGGCGGTGCTCTGATCTCTTTTAGTGATGGGTATGATTGGCCTAATCTGGCTCTGCGTATTGGCGAAAGAGCAGTGCAGTCAAAGAGAATGTGCTCTATCGTCTCGTCTTCTTGTTTACACAAGCCCTACACAAGGGTGATGTGTGGTACTGAGATGCAACCTAAACAAATATTTGTTTAACAGTGGCCAGTCGCCCGTCATTAGGCATAGCCTTTTCCTGGTCAACGACAGCTTTTGGCTCGCTGCAGCTTTATCTGGATAGCTTAGTAGTTCCTTGGAAAAGTTGCAGCCAATCGTGTCGTCTCAGCGCTTTTTGAAAGGGGTATCGGAGCGTTTTTTTATCATATCTTTGGCTGCCGACATGGTCAACTCCACGAAGGGCTCCGGTCCAGGTGGCTGTAACCTGGCGGCCCTCCTAGCTAGAGCATCAGCAGCCCGATTGCCTTTGCTGTGATCATGTCGTTTGATCCAGCTGTATGTATGCATGTATGTATGTGTTGGAGGTGTCAGTTGCACTGCGACCAAGGTTGATCTATTGTACCCCTCCTTCAGCCGCTAAGTTCGGGTTTCCTGCTTAAAGCAGCCCCTTTAGTCCTAGGTCCTTCAGGAATTTTAGGATGTGTAGCGGTTCCAGCTGTGTAAGGGGACTTCCCAAGTTCTTCATTTTTGAGCGGCTTACGGCATCGCAGTTCAGTAGAAAATGGTGAGGTGTTTCTTCACTGTTTTCACAGAATCTGCAAGTGTTACCTTCTTCCAACCCCAGATTATGTAGGTGCTTATTCAGTCTGCAATGTCCCGAGAGAAACCCGGTTGGAGTTCTGAGACTTTTCTTGCTAAGGTTGACCAGCAGTTCAGATCTTTTTT